TATTATTAATATGATATTTATAGAGCGCCGTCAAATTCCACAGTGCTTTACAATGGGTGGACGAACAGAGTTGTAGTTGTAACCAGACAAGTTGGACACACAGGAACAGAGGGGTTGAGGGCCCTGCTCAATGAGCTTACATGCTAGAGGGAGTGGGGTAAAATGACACAAAGAGGTAAGGATAGTATTAGACTAGTGACAGTTGCAGAAGAGGAATCAATCAGGAGCTATTAACAGTTTAATTGATACGCTTTTATGAAGAAGTGTGTTTTTAACAATTTTTTGAAGGAGTGGAGACTGGGTGAGCATCTAACGGAGGAGGGAAGCGAGTTCCACAGGAACGGTGCAGCCCTCGAGAAATCTTGAAGGCGAGCATCAGAGGTGGGAGTACGGACAGAAGATAGACCTAAGTCTTCAGCAGATCGTAAGGGCCTAGACGGGACATACTTGTGTATAAGGGAGGATAGATAGGTGGGAGCAGCATTATGTAGAGATTTGAAAGCAAGAACCAGAATTTTAAATTGAGCTCTGTATTTTATAGGAAGCCAATGTAGGGACTGACAGAAGGGTGAAGCATGGGGGGTGCGGGCAGACAGGAAGATGAGTCTCGCTGCCGCATTCATTATGGACTGTAACGGCGCAAGTTGGGAGTACGTACGACCACTGAGAAGCGGATTACAGTATTCAAGGCGAGAAAGGACAGTGGAATGGACCTTAGTCGCATCTGGCGTTAAGTAGGGGCGGATGCACGCAATGTTTTTGAGATGGAAATGACAGGATTTGGCGATAGATTGAACATGAGACTTGAAGGAGAGGTCGGAGTCAAAGAGAACACCTAGGCAGCGAGCTTTAATAGCTTGATGACTAGAATCCCTTCACCTGAGCCAATTAGATATATTTCTTATACATTTTTTAGATTATTAGGGTTTCTGATATGCTGCATTGTAATGTGTTTGATTACATGTATTGTGAAAATCTACTTTTATTATAATTGATTACTAATGTTTTAATATGCACTTTATTTAATAGGCGTATAACTGATTACCATTTATAAGGAACGTATGTACACTTCAGTGTTAGCTTGATGAAGGCCTCTGTGTGGGCAGAAAAGTTGCATTTCTTGCCTACTTCAAATAAAGCTGCATCAGCTGTTTCAACTCATTAAAGTGGTCTGGGTGCAGTGTCCCTATTGTACTTGGTGCTACAATGTAAAACATTGCCATTCCAGAGAAACTACCAGTTACAGAGAAACGTGGTTAGTTTTGATCCGACACCAGTAAATTAATCTGATTAATGTAAATGTATAACTTGAGCGTCTTATTCTTAGATGACTACAAAGTTTACTTTTTCAATAAATTGCAGCAAAAACACTTTTTATATTCTAAACAAAAAATCTGTAATTTAAATAATGTTATTATATTCAAGATTTTGAAGCTGGCTTATCATAAAATAATTATACATTACTTCAGGCATCATAAGAGGACCCAGATATAAATTTTCCCTTACATAACTTGTCTTGTGTTATTCATATTCCCAACATGCATCTTAATAATTCCTGAATGGATGCTCATTTTGCATTTTTGAATCTTGTTTTTTTTACCAGTAAGGATGCTCGAGGGTGCTGTGCATTTAGATCTTCAAGTATAGAACGTCAGTACAGTCACACAGATAATACTAATTATTAATAATATTAATAAATACTGTATTGTGACAATACTAAGAATAATTATATTTAGGAAGTAAATGTGTCTTGATTTCTTTGTCCTTCTTTATAGTGTATCCCACTGCAAATTAAAAAAACTGATGAACATATAACAATCATTTGTAATGAAATGACAGGAATGACAGGAATATAGAAAAATTGCGAGAACAATAAAAAATAAATAGGATCATGAACTCATTATGGTAACTGTGGAAAGGGTAAGAAGGAACTGTCATGGAACACATACAATGCAGGAAATTAAACTATAATTCTACTAAAGATTACTCTCCACAGCTCAGAAATATCAAATAGTTCTATGAGGATTTAGTTCATAAGAAGGAACAATTTATTTCTATAAGGTGGGATTTTATATTTTTAAATATACTCTGATATAGAAGATAACAGCACATATCTAAAATCATTGAATGGTACATTTAGTCAGATGGGACTAGAAAAAGAGATTTAAACAGAAATTAATTGGCATCAATACAAGTTTTCTTTCTCCACATCATGCTGTCTCCCCACCAAAAGTGAATGCATTGTTTTCATATTTCTCCTGGTCAGGGGCATACCTGAGCAGTTGGCACCCGGGGCGGATCCTATATTTTCCCCTCTCCCCCCAGCTTAAAAATGTAAAAAACACCCACAAATTATTTTTATGTATTTAGCACCAAGCAGTGTTTGTATTTTTTTTACGTGAGTGAACGTACGGGTGTGTTTGCACGTATTGGCATGCGTATTGGATGCAGGGTTGTATTTGTGTGTAGTGTAGGCGAAATGCTGAGATGTATGCATATATACACATATACTCACATATACACACACTGGCACACATACACAGACACATAGGTACACACATGCAGTCACATAGAAACACAGTCATACACAGATACACAAAAACACTGACACACACACATACAGACACACATACAGATAGACACACACATACAGACACAATGAAACAAACACAGACACACAAACAGATACACATACACACATTGACACATACAGATATACATATACCAACACACATACAGATACATAGACATACAGATACACAGACACTCATGTATATGTGTGTTACTGTGTGTGTTTGTATAGTGTATGTAGTGTGTTTGCATAGTGAATGCAGTGTGTGTGCTTGTATAGTGGGTAATTGTGTGAAGGAGGCGGTGATGGTGAGAGGGTGATGGTGAGAGGGAGGGGGTGTTGGTATGAGGAAGGGGGGAGGTGAGAGGATGAGGGGGATGACGGTGAGAGGGAGGGCGGATGATGAGAGGGAGGGGGAGGTGATGGTGAGAGGCAGGCAGTGATTTAAGAGGGAAAGGGGTAATGTGTGATGGTGTGAGGGAGGGGAGTGATGATGAGAGGGAGGGGGGATGATGATGAGGGGGGTAATGATGAGTGTGAGGGTGATGATGAGAGGGAGGGTAATGTGAGGGGGGGGGTGTTGATGAGGGGGTGATGTGTGAGGGAGAGGGGAGATGGTGAGAGAGAGGGGAGTGATGTGAGGGAGAGAGGGTGATGGTGACAGGAGGGGGGGTGATGATGATGAGAGGGGGTGATGATGAGAGGGGGAGTGATGTGAGAGGGGGGTGATGGTGTGAGGGAGGGGGGGTGATGGGGATATGGGGGGATGGACTAAATACCTTAATTCCCTGGTGGTTTGGTGGGCTCCCTGGTGGTCCGGTGGCCATAAATTCCACAGAGCTGCAGACCATGAATAGAGTGAGACCCACTCAAAGCATTGTAACCCGCGGCAACGCTCTGATTGCTCAGATCTCGCGAGACACATGGTCTGCAGCTCTGCACACTGTGGAGCTGCAGACCGGAGTCTGCGATGGGCGCAGGAGGGGCATCGCACCCGGAGGCATATTGAGCAAGCCGCCGGGCCCCCTTCTAGTGTTGGGTCAGACACAGTCTGCCTCGGGCATCAGCCTAGTGAGTGGCACCGGGGCGGACATCCCCCCCACCCTCTCTTAGTACACCACTGCTCCTGGTTATGTCAAGTTAGTCAGCATTAATTTCTAAGAGAATTGTCACAGCTTCGTGATTAGGAATGATTAATATTAGTTTGCTGGGTTGTGGAACATCAACTGAGATCAGCTGACAGGGTTAGGTCTTCTTAACCAATGGAGCTGCTATTGATGTTAGTGCTTTGGGAATGGCAAGACCCAGAAAAATGTTAGGTACAGCCAGCACTGTATGGGCTACCTTCAAAGGGGATTATGTGGAACAACCACCTTTTCCCTTCTACTGATTTTCATCTGCAAGACATCCGTATATGAGGTACTGAGTATATTTAATGCTGCCTTGCACCTACCACCCATGCCAACATACCTATGAGTAAGGGTTGCACAGTAGACTTTTGAATTAAAGTATACATTCCAGGACTGTGTCAAGTGAAGCACGTTTTTAATGCATTATCTTTATTTCTTAAATCTTTTTACTTACACTTTGAAGCTGGTAGAGCAAATGATATTTGAAATTTCCACACCCGACACGAGGTATAGCGTTGCCCAGTCATTTTGAGAACACTTAACAATTAAGTTATTTTCTAAATGTTTATTTGCCCATTTCTCTCTTCCAATACCCCACACTCACAAGACATTCTTGAATCCATAGGTAAGCTTACTTGCTTGCCTCCCATGTGAACTGGACATACTTACTGCCTAACCCAATCCCCGACACATGCATACTACTACTTCCATCGTACAATGACTACTTCCATCCCCCAAAAATTTAATTGGTTGTTAGCATCATCTGTTGTTAATAAGTAAATATACTTACTCTGATTTTTTTGTTTTTACATATTTTTTCTAGATTGTGTATTCTCTAGTCATTATTGCTCTGTTTTCTCCATGATGTCCTAAAACAATTGTATAAATTATATAACATTCAGGCAAAATTCATTGGATGAAAAATACAGAACAGATTATTGGGAAAAAACAAAAATGCATTATATATTTATATTTGTTGGATAGTGAATATACATGTTTTAACCCCACCGTGCATCTCTTTTAGTCCATGTGTAGGCACAAAATTCCACTATGGACCTCTCTGTCTAGTTTGATCACACTGAATACCTGCTTGTTTTGCCTTAAAAAAATAACAGCCCTGGGGCATGAAGAACTCAGCCACTGACAATTTAATTGTTCAAGTATCAAGTCAACACATGCAAGTCCCTGGATAGAATTCATGTTATAATTTCCAAATTGTTATTTGGAGTCATCTAACTCATATAAACAGGGGGTCAAGGATGAAAGTTCATCTATTGTACATGTCTCCAAATAAGAAGCTTTAATCAAAGTGTTTGTTTTCTAACAAGGCAAAAATACACTGCTTAGTATGTGCATAACATTTGACCTACTAACACATGCTTCAGATGGTGCAGATTTTTTGCATGTCAGTGAGCAAAATATTGGCCGGTGGTTCAGAGGACTGTGGGAATCTCCAAATTAGTTTAGTATGGAGATACATAAATAGCAGCCATCATAAAAGAGAACCATAAGCTGAATGTACAAATGGGAATTGAGGAATTTTATTTTAATTTTTTTAGTATGTAAAATAAAATAAAGTGGCAATGTCACTCCTAACTAATCTTTCTCATATTGTTTCCTTCCCTCTCTCAGAATCTGTTCTTCTTTTTCTTAATTTCTTATCCATTTCTAATCAAAATAAGGACTACTTTGTCTTATTTATTTTTCCTATGTTTGGCTTTCTTTGACCAAATACAGAAAACCAACATAGGGTGATACATTTAGACACTATATAATAAAAGTGAGAGACTTGGGAAAACTCACAATTTTCAGAGCATTTCTGAGTTTGCTCTAAACTATGAAGGTAGGATACATCATTTAGATGTGCATATATCTGTGCTTGGTCCCCACAGGAGATGTTTGTAGTTCTCTTGGGAACATCCTGGGAGAAGGGTTGTCAGAGCGGTACAGAGCGTGTACCGCTCTGACAACCTTTCTCCCAGGATGTTCCCAAGAGAACTACAAGGTATGTGATTCAGACGGCGTGGACGTGCTATGCCGCCCGCCTGCGTTTAGAGCCGGGTCCCCAAGGACGGCCGCCATCCTTAAGAAGTTTTAGACACATTACTGTGAGTATTATTGCTGTGGAGCTCTGTTATACACTCAGACACACCAAGAATATAGAACTAATTGAAAGGGGGGATATTGGGATAGAACAAGGGGAGAAGGATTTGGTTCCAAAACAGGGACTGTCCCTCTCAAATAGGGAAATCTTTATTGCTTTCACTGGTTACCAACATGACTTTCTTCTATGTTTCTGTTCTGCAAATTGGAGGATGGTTTACCCGAATCTTCAGCACTTATCTGAATGATCAGATGTGAATCCACTTTTTAGTAATATTCCATCTGAATTACTGCACTTCAGCCTGGTAATGTTTGCCCCTTTATGACCTATCTTCTCTCAAATCTGTCTTGAACATCTTTCTTAGACCCATTTACCTTATGCATCAACCATTATCTACATCCCCTCTCTTCTAGTCTCTCCATTAGTTTCCATCCCATCAATCCCCCCCAAAAAATTGAAATCATGAACTTTGCCTATAAAGTCTAACTAATTCTGAATTTAAGGGAATCTCAAATTCTGAATTGGAAACATACTCCAACTATTTTTCTAGCTTGGCTATATTGTTCTAGAGAACATTTCCTCAGTATTATCAAATTTAACGATATATGAATTCTTAATAGCAGTTTGGGCATTCCAAATTAAACCCAACATTCCCCATTAACTTAGTTTATCTGTTCTTCTCTTATCACTTCCTTTCACTCTCCTTTCCACCATCAACCCTTTGAAATTAATTACATTCCTCTGTTGGGCACCACTTATATCCCACAGTTTTAAAAGTTCTGTAAAAACAAAAACATATTTAGAGAAGACGTCTTTGTCCCCCCTAATCTCCCATACAAATTCTTAAAGAAGGCGTTTGTGCTTAGTCATTAGAAGGCTTAGCCATTAGTTGCTGTTGTAATTTGTTACTCATATACAACCTCCTTCCTTCTGTCCATCCTACTGTTAGATTGTAAGCTCACAAGGGCATTGCCATCTTTCCTTCCATACCAGTGTAATGCAATGTGTACGCTATGCAAACTTTGTGTATCGTTTGTAAGACATAAGCTTGTCTATAATACTGTGATATTGTACAGCCCTGCAAAAACTGCTGGAACTGTAGAAAAAAAAAAAATATATATATAATCTACATCAGAACTTGTGATGGAAATGCTATGGTGTATAAAGAGTTTGTTTTATTCCAGTAAAATATTCTGTGTTTCAGTGGCATATAATATTTTAAAAAGAAGGCATTTGGTTGACAAGAGAAAAAAAGTAAAAAAAAAAAAAGTAGCTGCAATAAATGTTTATAAGGCTTTTGAAACCCCTGTCAAGAAATACCCTGTGGATATTATATAGCGCACACAAGCTGAAATAAATATATATGTAGAAAGCAGCAGATATGGCCCCTTGCCGAGACTGGAGTTAGAATACCCCCTAGCTTAGTAGCTAAGCAGCTGTGTTACTGTTAGGGAAAGTCCATAAAATACTAACTAGAGCTTAGTAACCAATCAGAAAACTGAATAGAAACAACTTATCAACTCATCATGACTACCATCATAGTCCAGTGTTGCTGGATAGATAGATAGACAGACAATGGACAGAGAGACACGTAGACAAACAGACAGGAATAGATAGATTAGATAGATAGATAGATAGATAATGAGTGGTGAAGAATTTTAAAAATGGGTATTATATATTTTCTTTCATTATCAAAACATTACTAGAGATATGGATTGAATTAATGAAAATGTGGTTTACATTTAAATTCCTTAGTTCTATATTAAAATAAATTCAATATAGTATTTTTTAACTATATCATGCATTATGTCATAATTGCTACTGAAACACTTCTATATGTGTTGTATTATATGGCATCTCATTTCTACAATGTTTCATTTATATGTCTTTTTTTTTTTTTTTTTAAATATTGTGTCAAAGTTGATCAGTTCTACAAACACTGCAGGTTATGAAGTGGTATTGTCTTTAGTATATCCTTGGACTAAGTACAATGGCCACACCAGTCTGTAAATTCAAGCACAGATAGGCAGTTTCCTGGAATTGCTTTATCCCATGGCTTTACTTGGGCCTCAACAAAGAATACTAGATTACACAGAATGTTTTTTAAGAAACATACATAATTTGCTTAAATGCAAAGTTCATGATGCTTAGTGCACCCTGAATGCACTCTCATGTCTGATTTTACTTTTGTAAAAATCACTGCCATTAAAGATAGCCCACTGAGCTGACAATCATGAAGCTCAGAGTACTTAGTTCTGGGTTGCTTATATAGATTTTTATCCCTGTTTGTGTGTGTGGCACTTGCATGTTGCACACATAATAATGAAGTCTCTCTCTCCCTTCTCAGGAAAGAACAGAGAAACAGTTTGCCTATGCCTAAGCCAAGGCTAAAATACAGCACAGTTCACTAAGCCGCGGTATGGCTACTATTACTTTAAAGGGAATTTCAGATCAATGTATCTGATGATTTGAACTGCTTTTTGGGGATCAACTTATCCCATAATCCGCTGCTGAACAAAAATGATTGTGTTAGATATGTCCATATAGACCAGAATAAGACTCTCCTAAACAGTGATTCTAGTGGAAACTTGCACTGGCACTGAAACTCCTTCTACCAGAGCTAGTTCTAGCCTTATACCTTGTTGGTGCCCCTCCAAGAAACAACTATTGGAGAGCGCAATAGATTTGTGGGGGTCATCTCACAGTGGAATACCAAAGTAGTTTCCCCAATGTCTGGTTTGGTGAATCCAGTTATGGTAATTCTGTTTCCACCATTAAAGTCATAGACATTTTTCCTCAGGCCCAGGAGCTACTTGACTATGAGTTTAATGAGACAGACAAATTAGAAGTGTACAGAAAGCAGTCTTTTATTTTCTCCAGCAGCTAATGCCTCATTCTGCATTCATCCACCATTTCCAAGTCCATCTGTATGTCCTGCAGAATTGACTAATCCAACTTCAACGGTTGAGACATCAGCTGCACCTGCCACCACAGGCACAGGTAATTCACCCACTGTCAATGTCATCAATGTCATCACCACCACATTACTATTGCTATTATCACTATCAATACCACCATCAACATCCCCTGTACCCAGGGCCGACCCAAGACATTGTGCTGCCTGGATCCACGTATGAAATGCTTTTCAATTAAGGAAAATTAAAGAAAAAGTGAATGGACAATTGATGATCCACTTACTCATTCCATCCTTTCATATTTTGAAAAATTCCCTTATTTCAATTAAATGACTTCTGCAGTCACTAGTGCACATTTTTTAATTTTTGTTTTTTTAAAACTGAAGAACATCATCGACACAACAAGCTACATGGTGGTAGAGCTTAGTACTTTTCAGAGTGAGAGGGGTGGTCTATTGACTGCTGACTTTTCTTTTAATTTTTGGATAAAAAAACATAAAGGGAAATGGATTACAATCCATCTAAAACCTCTGTCACTTAATAATTTATTCAATAATGTAATATTGTCAACTCAGAATTGGTATTGCAAAATGTTCTGATATTACATAGCCTTTAGGTCAAGCAATATTGTAGCCATTCTGGTTGTGCAATTGGCCATTGTGAATATTTTTTGTTATCGAAATTTGGTCAAAATGAACAGCGAACTAAATTCTGTCTTCCTGAACTTTTATTTTTGTTGAAGTGTTTCAGGAGAACTCAAGTCTATATTTTAATGTTCTCTACTTTAGAACATATTATTAGATCTAAAAATGTGATAACTTAAAATGTTTTAACAAGCATTTCCGCACAACACTTGGCAGTCTTCATATAATGCCATCTAGTTATTATTTGCGTCAAAATAAGAAGTCTATAACAGGCAGGAATGCCACTTTAACAATTGAATTTGAAAGATCATATATCTTGTATGACATTTTAATAGAAGACGTTCCCAGAAATTATTTTGAAGTTCTGGACACTATATATGGCAGAGGAATACAATAACATAAAGAAGACATTTCGAGGAACCCTTGACTAATCTACCCTAAGTGACTGGTGACAAAAGGTATTGTAACTTGATATTGATCACTAACTATTTGGTTACAGCTCTGAAAAATTGGAATGCACTCAAAACATCCTGTTAGTGTAAATGACTTGCTTTTGCCACTTTACATACCAGCTTGTAAGTTAATAGTTTGAACTTTGATATACCTTGTTAATTGCCCTGTATAATCACAAGACATCCAATGTTAATTTTTAAGGCAAAGCAGTTGCAGAGATTCTACCTTGGTATGTATTCCCATTTGCCATCAGTACGTTTATTTGGTATATCTATCCATTTGTCATCAACAGGTTTATTTTATGATTACATCTTTACTATGATAATAACTCTGTCAATCATCAGGAAACCAGCAAACCTTGGCACTAGAGCAATATTATGCATAGGCGCTTTGCTATAACTCTGTCACCGAATAAATACATAGTCCTATTCAACATAGTAACACTATAGTAATTAAAACAAATTGGGACACTACTAGGTGGCATGATATAAGGTGCAGTCAGGGATGCCTACTAAGTAATTATGTTTGAATTCTGAATTAGCAAAATTACTCAACTATTTTTACTACTTATAAAACGCTAGTGAACAGTGTAGAGCCTGTTTAAATTGCATTACTACAGAGTGAAATAAACTTAATTTTGGATAAAGCACTGGTTTTAGTCCTTCTGATGTCGTTTACTTGGTTCCTTTGTTAACCCCTTAAGGACTGGACTGTTTTTGCGATGTTGTACATTTGCGACCAGGCATATTTTTACACTTTTGTGGTGTTTGTGTTTAGCTGTAATTTTCCGCTCTCTCATTTACTGTTCCTATACAAATTATATATTGTTTTTTTCAGGACAAAAAAGGCTTTCTTTACATACCATTATTTATATAATCTCATGTAATTTAATTAAAAATACAAAAAATCTGATGAAAAATTGAAAAAAATACATGTTTTTTGACTTTTACTTGAAAAATCTTTTACTCATCTACAAAAGCGAATGAAAAAACTGCTAAATAGATTCAAAATTTTGTCCTGAGTTTAAAAATACCTAGTGTTTACGTGCTTTTTTGCTTTTTTTTGCATGTTATAGGGCTATAGGTACAAGTAGGATAATGCGGTTTCAAAACATACATTTTTAAAATTTATCAATAGTGACATTGTAACACTATTATCTGTCATAAATCTCTGAATAACACCCCACATGTTATTATTTTTAAAGTACAACCCAGGGTATTAATATGGTATGTCCAGTCTTAGTAGCCACTTAGTCGAAAACACTGGCCAAAGTTAGCATTCATATTTGTTTGTGTGTTAAAAAAGTAAAAATCTAAATTGAACGCTAATTTGGCCAGTGTTTGTGACTAAGTGGTTACTAAAAAAGACTGGACATACCCCATTTGCAATACCTTGGGCTGTCTTCTTTTGCAAATGGTATGCCATCATGGGGGTAATTCTCATTCCTGGGCTACCATACGCCCTCAAAGGCAACGTAACCAACCTGGCCATTTTCAATGTAAAAATATTTGACCCATATATTTGACCTTGTAACTTTAAAAAATGCTATA